ATCTTCTCAAAACTCTGGATTCTGATAGAGGGCCATGAGACTTAGACCTGAGTGCAAAAATGGAGGCTCTAGCCCTTCCAGAGCTGAGATATCGAAACTCAAAATCGCCCGAAAAAAAAAAAAAGACAGTGGTACCCCTTACGTTTTTTTTTCGGCGCGAAAAATTAAGTTTCTCCAATTTCCAAAACTCTGGATTCTGATAGAGGGCCATGAGACTTAGACCTGAGTGCAAAAATGGAGGCTCTAGCCCCTTCCAGAGCTGAGATATCGAAACTCAAAAATTCGGCCCGAAAAAAAAAACGACAGTGGTACCCCTTACGTTTTTTTTTTTGGGGGCAAAAAATTAAGTTTCTCCAATCTTCCCAAAACTCTGGATTCTGATAGAGGGCCATGAGACTTAGACCTGAGTGCAAAAATGGAGGCTCTAGCCCCTTCCAGAGCTGAGATATCGAAACTCAAAAATTCGCCCGAAAAAAAAACGACAGTGGTACCCTTACGTTTTTTTTTTCGGCGAAAAATTAAGTTTCTCCAATCTTCTCAAAACTCTGGATTCTGATAGAGGGCCATGAGACTTAGACCTTAGTGCAAAAATTGGAGCTCTAGCCCCTTCCAGAGCTGAGATATCGAAACTCAAAAATTCGGGCCCGAAAAAAAAAAACGACAGTGGTACCCTTACGTTTTTTTTTCGGGCGAAAAATTAAGTTTCTCCAATCTTCTCAAAACTCTGGATTCTGATAGAGGGCCATGAGACTTAGACCTGAGTGCAAAAATGGAGGCTCTAGCCCCTTCCAGAGCTGAGATATCGAAACTCAAATACGGTCCGAAAAAAAACGACAGTGGTACCCCTTACGTTTTTTTTTTTCGGGCGAAAAATTAAGTTTCTCCAATCTTCTCAAAACTCTGGATTCTGATAGAGGGCCATGAGACTTAGACCTGAGTGCAAAAATGGAGGCTCTAGCCCCTTCCAGAGCTGAGATATCGAAACTCAAAAATTCGTCCTGAAAAAAAAAAAAACGACAGTGGTACCCCTTACGTTTTTTTTTTTTGGGCGAAAATTTAAGTTTCTCCAATCTTCCCAAAACTCTGGATTCTGATAGAGGGCCATGAGACTTAGACCTGAGTGCAAAAATGGAGGCTCTAGCCCCTTCCAGAGCTGAGATATCGAAACTCAAAAATTCGTCCCGAAAAAAAAACCGACAGTGGTACCCCTTACTTTGTTGTTTTTTTTTCGGGCGAAAAATTAAGTTTCTCCAATCTTCTGAAAACTCTGGATTCTGATAGAGGGCCATGAGACTTAGACCTGAGTGCAAAAATGGAGGCTCTAGTCCCTTCCAGAGCTGAGATATCGAAACTCAAAAATTTGGCCCGAAAAAAAAAAAAAACGACAGTGGTACCCCTTACGTTTTTTTTTTTTGGGCGAAAAATTAAGTTCTCCAATCTTCCCAAACTCTGGATTTCTGATAGAGGGCCATGAGACTTAGACCTGAGTGCAAAAATGGAGGCTCTAGCTCCTTCTAGAGCTGAGATATCGAAACTCAAAAATTCGTCCCGAAAAAAAAAAACCCGACAGTGGTACCCCTTACGTGTTTGTTTTTTTTTTTCGGGAGAAAAATTAAGTTTCTCCAATTTTCTGAAAACTCTGGATTCTGATAGAGGGCCATGAGACTTAGACCTGAGTGCAAAAATGGAGGCTCTAGCCCCTTCCAGAGCTGAGATATCGAAACTCAAAAATTCGGCCCGAAAAAAAAAAACGACATTGGTAGCCTATATATATATATATATATATATATATATGAAGAGTTCAGATGCAAAAGCCTCTAAATGCCATTTGAAATTTTCTTCTTGAATGATAATTTTTATCAAACTTGTATATTTAAATTCAGTAATTTCACTTAAATGGCTTGTTATTTAAGTGAAATTACTGAACTTAAATATACAAGTTTGATAAAAATCATCATTAAAGAAGAAAATTTCAAATGGCATTTAGAGGCTTTTGCATCTGAACTCTTCATATATATATATATATATTGCATTTTAAATAATAGACCATTTCTCAGTGATCGTAAATAAAACAAAATTCCATTTTTCTCAGTTTAATGAAAACCAATAGGTAGTTTAAGTGTAAGTTTCACGTTTGACGATAAATTTGGGAATCAGTCTAGTGTTTGGTTTCAATTTGTGTTGAACAGTATTCTAAGGTTATGTAGAGTAAAATCTATCACAGCTTCAATTTGATTCATCATTTTACAACCTTTATCAAAACCTGCAGGCAAACAAACACTGGAGACTGCATAAATGGACCTCTGATTGCATTCACTGTGGTTACTGTATCCATGGAGACGATAAGGCCACCTCATGTCATGGCAGTCTAATGAAACCCAGTGCAAATCTTTATAGTAGACTACATTTGGCATTGTTTGCATTTTACGTGAACAGGCCATGACTAGTGTTGAAAAAATAGTCTGTTAAAAAAAAAAAAAAAAAAAAGCAAGCAACAATTATATCATCAATACTTTAATAATAAAAAACATACAAATGCAAATAAAACAATAATATAAACATAAATAATGATGGCACTATATCTAAAGGTGCCATAAACAGAAGGATTCCTGTAATAGTTTTTACAATAAAAACAGTGGTGCAGCAAATATATACCCATGTGCCCTATTCCACTTTTCACTGCTCCTTGAATATTAAAAACATATTTCAAGTAACAATGTCTTCAAAAAAAAAAAAAAAAAAAAAGAAAAGAAAGCAGTACAAATACAAACAGGAGCTGGTATTTAAAAAGTACAAAAAAAAAAAAAAAAAAAAAAAGATGGCTAAACTGCTATAAAACAACCTGACAGAATTTTCACAGATACATATTCCTTAATAGCATGTGGTTTTAAATCAATTACAGACAATAGTTTGTCACTAAGAAATTCAACTTTTTTTTTTCATAAAAAACAAGGCGTAAACATAAAAGCACAATTAGTGTAGTGTTGCATGTCTGACCACTATGAACAGGCGAGACACCATTTACAGACACACAAATCAAACACAATAAATAACTCAACAACAATCATAACTTTGGTACAGCACAAGATATTGATTATCACCCATCCAAATACTGAAGAATGTTTTTCAAATTGTGAAATATTAATCAAATACAAAAATTACATTAATTTGTAATTTAGTGTAGTGAAGTCTTGTACGTCTATAGAAAGAAAGAAAGAAAAAGTTTCTCTAAGATCCCGAAGACTCCCATCTCCATATACTTCGATCCGTACACTCTAAACAAAAATGGTGCTAAATAGCACTAAAAGTGGTTCATTGGCTTGAAATCATAGGGGAACCACTTTAAGTGCCATCTTTGTCAAATGGTGCTATGTAGAACCATAAAAGGTGCCATAGAGCACCCCAGAGAACCACTGAAGAACCAAATTGGGTTTAACAGGTTCTTTAAATAATAGTGGTGGTATATAGCACCATGACCACCGCAAAGAACCGCTGAAAACCTTTTTTTAGAGTGTACAGTAAACAAATCAAATCTAAAAGAGTGTTCTGAAATCAGGACCAGAGCCTCCTAAAACAAGGCCACAGTCCTTTCTTCATTTTCTAGAATTCTTCAGTCAGTGTAACTTGCTGAGTAAAAACATCCAGCTGACATGTTCAGAGGCTTCAGCTTTTTTGTTATTACAGAGTGTGAGAAGTCATCTTCTGTGCAGCAGTTAATCTTGTATCCATGCTTCAGGCCACTGTTGCCACTTTGTCATAGTCATTGGTGTATTCTGTGTCTGGCGTGTTGGTTTCATCCTGGTTCTTGTTCCAACAGGACAAAGCCGAGAGGAAAAGTCCAGCTCCTCCCAGCAACACGAAGCTCCCGCTGAAGTAAAACGCCAGGTCGTAAGAGTGCATCCAGTCGTGAATCCAGCCTGGAGTGAGAAACCAAACAAGTGGCAGAGTTACATACTGTATCTCACTCCACTGCTAAGCTTGCTGACTCTTTACTCTAGACACATTTACTTAACCCTCTGATGGTCTCCCTTTATGAGTCACGTCCTGGGCCTTCCCGGTCAGAAGTGACCGGAGGCCTAAAAATGAAACTTCTTCCATCCCAGTAAAACCAACCAGAGGCATGTGAATTTCCCAGCTGTTTAGGAACACTTTTTTTTTGGTGGATTTGAATATATAATTGAAACAATCTCAAAAACTATTTCTTATTAAAAAAATTTAAAAAAAAATTGTGTTTTTTTTTCAATTTCCCATTCATTTCCTATGGGGGTCATTTTTGACCAAAGACCAAAATCATGACTAATTTTTTTACGACCAATTAGCATGCTTGGATCATGAACTCATTTTTTTTTTTTGTGTTCACATACCTAATGCCAGAAATGTCACCAAGTTTCGTAACATTCCAATGAAGCTGTGATTTTTAAAAATTCAAAACAGATTTTTTTTGTAGTCTGAATTTATTGGTGTGTATGTGTATAAAAGTGTGTTTGTGTGTGTGTGTGTGTGGGTGTAAATTTTTTGCACTCTTGATGTTGTAGAGTGTCACCCCTTTACTGCGGTATACTTCTTTTAAGAATCGTGACCGATTTGTAGATTGTAAAAACAAAAATTCAGAGAATTTTAGTTTTTTTGTAAATTTCCCATTCATTTCCTATGGGTCGGTCATTTCTGACCAAAGACCACAAGTGTGACTATTTTTTTACGACCGCTTAGCATGCTCGGATCATGACCTCAATTTTTTTTTTTTTTTTTTTTTTGTATTCACATAGCAAATGCCAAAAAAGTCACCAAGTATCATAACCTTCCGATGAAGCTGTGATTTTTAATAATTCAAAACAATAATTATTCGGTCAGAAGTGACCGAGGACCATCAGAGGGTTAATCAAGAATTCAATTCCTGACTTTGAATTTAAATATAGAAAACAGAATGTAGCATTATCATTTTAATGTATGGAAGTATAATTATATGGAATCAAATTCAAACAGCAAATCATAGAAGTGTTTGAATGACATCTGAATCAGTGGGGAACAAAAGTGTCCAAATTAAAGGAAAATCATCTTTTAAAAAACAAGTTTAAAACACATTTTGGAAATGTACTCTTTGTGTTTGTGTTCAAGTGTTTCATTTAAGAATAAAAATAAATGCTTACATTTAATGACAAATAAATCTAAATCATTATTTATATATATATATATATATATATATATACACACTCACACACGCATATATGCTACATGATTATAAAACAAATAAAAAGTGCTGTGGCGTTCCATTTTGCCAAGAACGTAAACATCCATAATGCACTTTGGTTTTGGTTTCTGACAGTCTGTCGGCATATATGTGGATGCACTGTGTATAATTATTTTATATATATAAATACACACACATGCTTGTATATATTTAAGAAATATTTTCATGTATATACTGTATATAGATTTATATATAATTTATATTATATATAAATATATTTTATATATAAATAATATTTTTTTCTTAAATATACATGCATGTGCGTATTTATAAAATAATTATACACAGTGCACCCATATAAACACTTTTATTTTGGATGCGATTAATCGCGATTAATCATTTGACAGCCTTAATTCATATATATATTTAATTAATTGACTTTAATTTGACGTAGTACAGTGGAAAAACTATGGAAGCCCTGAACCCCAACATAAAAAATAAATAAATAAAAAATCTGAAAAAAAATCTAGCATTTCGAGATTAAAGTCGAAACTTTTCGAGATTAAAGTCGAAATATTTCGATAGTACGAGAATACAGTCTTCCGTAGAAGTTGTGTGTGTTCTTGCCATTGTTTCACATTGCCGCACACACAGGCATTCATAATGGTGCATAGCGAGTGTTTCACACTGTGTGTGTGTGTGTGTGTATTAAATCTGAGGAAATTACGGGATCCGGCCAAATGATTGGATGATGCACTTAAAATCTATCCAGAACGTATCTACGGTGAAGAGGGAGACAGAACGGTTACTGTTGTGTTCTCGACCCACATAGTGTTGACTAGACAAGCACGAAAACACCTCAAAAACACTGCAACATAAAGTTTGGACTAGATTATGATTCCTACTCGGCGGAGTCTGTGCGCTCGTCTACAGGCAACACCATGGTAATTCTTGTTGTTAAAGTAGCCCCTGTGTAGAATTTTGTTGAAAGCCCAGATAAAAGTAAGAAGCTACTATGTTGTGTTGACCCATGTTTGACAGTTTTTTTTTTTTTTTACTTTGCGGTTCAGGGCTTCCATTAAAAAACACATCATGTCCCAAAATGGTCTAATTTATTCCAAAGTCTTCAAAATAAATCTTTATCCCGAAGTCATTCAAGATCAGCTGTGGTTTATGTGACCAATTCCCACTGATGAATTGAAAAGAAACTGCTTCTTAAATTAAATTTTTCCAAACGTCTGGTCTGTACTAATTCTTTTGCTAATAACTGAAGTAAACTTCCAACACAAAATCCCGATTCAGAAAAATTCTGATTTTGGCCAGTCTCTGGTCCGTACTAATTCATTTTAAAGACTTTTCATAGAGTCTGAACTAAAATCATGGCATCAAGTAAAAAAAAAAATTACCTGCGACAGGTGGTCCGAGCATTATACTGAATCCACCAAAGAACATCAAGATCCCATATGCCTCAGTCAGACGATCCATTCCGACAACCTTAGTGGTCATGTAGGGTATGACGGACCAGTTTCCAGAAAAGAAGCCCAGCACCGCTGAGATGACCTGCAGCCCAGTGTAGTTCTTGGTGACGGGGATAATGAGAAGAGCAACCCCTGAGCCCACCAGGGTGAAGGAGTACAGAAAGATGCTGTTCATCCAGCGGATGTCCATCGTGATGCCCAGCAGCAGCTTTCCCACTCCAGCAGCAATTGCCATGATGGACACCAGCGGGATGGTGCGGATGCCATCGACCAGACCCTCGTTCTGAGCCAAATCCTCCAGGAAGAGAAGAGGAGTGTACGCACCCAGGCAATACGCAAACAAAGACATGCACATGGCCGAGAAAACCCTGTTCTGAAGCAGTTCCCCTGTCGACTTCAAGTATTCCAAGTACTCCTTCTGTTTCTTCTTCATTAGCCGCACCAACGCCACATAACTCAGGAGGCTCTTCTCGTACGGTGGAGGCTCTTTCGCCTCTTCGGTGATGAGAACGTTGACGGACTGTTTTTTCTTGATGGGGTCCTCCACGACAGGGCTCTTTTCCAGAACCTTCTCCTCCGCCTTCTCGACCAGTGCTGCTCTCTGTTTCAGGTAGTAGGCCGGCAGGTGCAGTGGTCTCATGAGTCCGGCACAGGCGATGATGTTTAGTGCAAAACAGCCAATTAGCAAAAGGCAGCCGTCGAGTCCAAAGAGTGCAATGAACTCATTCTGCGCCGTAGCGTAGAGAAAACCTCCAATACTTGTACCTGGAAACATGAGAAGGATTGAATTGGCTTACTTTAATTGGACATGAATGTTATTAGTACTACGGCTGCACGATTAATCAAAGTAAAACCGAAATTGTGATATGGCTTATTGCGATTATCAAATTGCAAAGGCTGCGATTTAATTTATTCCTCTGGTGGTCTTCGGTCACACTTGGTAAAGGTTTTGGCACTTGCTATGTGAAAAAAAATCATAGCCATGAATCGAAAAGGTTAAATGTTCCTGTAAAAATAGTCACATTGGAAATGAAAGCCAAACAAAATCTTACTGAAAGCTAATTTTTTTGAGATATCAAGCTCAAATTTCAAACAACTTGTTCAGATAAAAATTGTCTCACAGTTTTTGAGTAAAACGTAATTTTGAAAATATATTTCATATAAAAATTTTAAATAGTATCTTTGTTTTTCATTACAATTCATGTAAAATTCTGTTACTTTTTTAAAACTTTTTTCACTTAATCTGCCAAGTGTCGTCTTTGAAAAGAGATCACACTCTTCTGTGCTCTAAAGCAGTGTTTCCCAACCCTGTTCCTGGCGGCACACCAACACCGCGCGTATTCTTTGTCTCCCTTATCAAACATACCTGATTCAACTCATCAGCTCATAATCAGATGGGTTAATGAGCTGATAAGTTGAATCAGGTGTGTTTAATTAGGGAGACAAAGAATACGCGCAGTGTTGGTGTGCCGCCCGGAACAGGGTTGGGAAACACTGCTCTAAAGCATTCAAGATTTACGACGGTTTAAGTTGAAAATGTTACTTTCAGGTCTACGCTCAAAAAGTTAATAAATGGATTACAACATAAGGCATAAATATAATTTAGTGTAAAACAATCCCCTAAAAATACAAAACATTAAATAAAAAACATTATCAAACTAAAATATAGTACATTCATTTCATTGACCAAATAAAAAGAAAATCGGTCATTTTTGACCGACACGCGAAGAGCACCAGAGAGATAAAGTTTCCTAATTTTGTTTTGAAGGCCTTCTAAAATGGGTTTACATGCAAAAAAACAGTTTCTCATAATAAACATGGCATCATCACCTCTTTTCACACAGCAGAGAAAACCCCTTCTAAACCCTGCTTTTCCGAGAGCCTACGTTGCTCTGATTGGTCAGATGGCCCAGTCTGTTATGATTGGTCTACAGCTTACAGCGTGTGTTGGACACCAAATGGCCATTACCATATCTGAATGTCAGCTCCAGAGGCTTCCTTCAGCACTTGGTAAACAGTGATACAAATAGTAACAATGGTGGGTTTTGCAAGGCTGAGTTCTCATCTTTGGAACTCAAAGTGGATTTCCTTTCGCATCTTCTCGAATTATAGACAACACGAACAATCATCTCTTCCAGGCCTCAGCTACAACTACAGTTTGAGGGAGGGTAAAAGTAGATGTTTTTGAGAGCAGCCAATGAAGCTAGGCTTGCATTATGCTGATTTGTTACAAACCTCTGAAGGTTTGTGCAGGAAGCAAGACTGAAATTAAAGATGACTCATTTCAGGCAGTTCAGAATAGGTTCTTTCTTTTGGAAGACAATAACTCCATTTATCGTTCACTTTGATCTTAGAAAGCAGGGCACTGTGTTCTTACATGTGAGCAGCTCATTATTATTCACAGAAACTGCTGCTCTTTTAATTTGGGGACACAACATTGTGATGATAAGTGCTTATCAACCATCAAGAATATATGGCCAAACTGTGCAGCCCTACACATTTTATAAAAATAGTAGTCATGAAAACTTCATTTTTTTTAAAACAGCATTGAAGGAGTTCGCATGTGTCACATATTTCCGATCCCACTCATCCATTCAAAATAAAAAAAATAATTAAATTAATAAAATGACAGCTTTGCATGGCTTTGAATACATTTGTATTCATGCTTTGAGATAAAAAATGTTTGAGAAACATTATAAGAAACATTGAGAAACTTATAAAATGTTTTGAGAAACTGATGAGAAACAAATTTTGTCTTTAAACTTTGTGTATTATTTTCAACTGATCATATATTTTGCATACCTGTTGTAACAATGCCGAGAGCAAGACCGCGTCTCTTGTCAAAATACTGGCAAGTGATGGTTACAGTAGCAGCATAAACAAGTCCACAGCCTAGTCCTGTAAAATAAAAGAGTGAGGTTAAAGAAAAGTTCAACTGCTCATTTAATCTTTATTATAATCTTATAATCAACTATTATCAATATAACTACATAACTATTTATATGTAATAAAGGTAAACAGATTTGTGTAGGGGCTTGAGGACAAGACCATACTCAAACTCTAAATATCCCCCAAAACTATAGAATAATTGAAGGGATAGTTTACCCAAAAATGAAAACTCTGTCATTAATGAATCACCGTCATACCGTTCCAAACCTTTTAGTAGTTCACTTTTCAAAAAACCTTTGCTGATAATTTACTCACCCCCATGTCATCCAAGATGTCCATGTCATTCTTTCTTTAGTTGAAAAGAAATTAAGGTTTTTGATGAAAACATTCCAGCATTTTTCTCCATATAATGCACTTCAGTGGAAACCAAACGGTTCAAGGTCCAAAAGACAGTTTCAGTACAAACTGCAAATTGTTCAAAGGGCTTTAAACGATTCCAGACGATGAATAAGGGTCTTATCAAGCGAAACGATCCCTCATTTAAAAAAAAAATAACAAAGTTTAAGTTTTAAAAGCTCAAATGGTCGCCTTGCTCTGTTCTGTGACGCACGTTTGTGAATCTCCTGTTCAATTTGTTCTTTTCTTTCGTTGAATGAACCAAATGACTCGGAAAAAGATTTGTTCATTTTGATGAACGAGTTCGAACAGGAGAGTCACAAACGTGCGTCACAGAACAGAGCAAGGCGACCATTTGAGCTTATAAAACTTAAACTTTGTTACTTATTTATTAAATGAGCGATCTTTTTGCTTGATAAGACCCTTATTCATCGTCTGGAATCGTTTAAAGCTCTTTGAACAGTTTGCAGTTTGCACTGAAACTGTCTTTTGGACCTTGAACCATCAATGCTGGAATGTTTTCATTAAAAACCTTAATTTCTTTTTGACTGAAGAAAGAATAACATGGACATTCTTGGATGACATGGGGGTTTATCAGCAAAAATTTTTTTCAAAAGTGAACTACTCCTTTAAGACTTTTGAGACTTCATCTTCAGAACACAAATGAAGATATTTTTGATGAAATCTGAGAGCTTGGTTTTGAAATTTGTTCTTGCACGTCAAGGGAACATTTGAGTTTCCGTTTACCACAACTGATGTGTAAGTTGAAAATATGTGAATAAAAGCCGTGGTAGTTGCGTGGACTGTCAATGAAAGGACAGAAAGATCTCAGATTTCATCAAAAATATCTTCATTTGTGTTCCAGAGATGAACGAATGTCATACGGGTTTGAAACGACATGAAGGTGAGTAATTAATGACAGAATTTTCATTTTTTGGGTGAACTAGGCTATCCCTTTAAGGTAGTAATACATTTATAGATATACTAGATATTTAAAATAGGATTAAATATGCCAATAAATATGTTAGCTTTTTAATGCTTTAATTTAGGGCTGTCAAACAATTAATCGCAATTAATCGCATCCAAAATAAAAGTTTGAGTTTACATAATATTTGTGGGTGCACTGTGTATAATTATTTTGTGTATATATAAATACATACACATGCATGTATATTTAAGAAGAAAAAAAATATTATTTATATACAGTATAAAATATTTATATTTACATATAATATAAATTATATATAAATCTAGAATATACATGAAAATATTTCTTAAATATATACAAGCATGTTTGTATTTATATATATAAAATAATTATATACAGTGCACCCACATATATTATGTAAACAGAAAGTTTTATTTTGGAGGCGATTAATCGCGATTAATCATTTGACAGCCCTAGTTTGAATACATTTTGAGCAAATATTGTGAAAATAAGTGCATTTAATTTTTCAGCATTATATTGACCCTCAGCCCACATTCAGACTTTGAAATGTGAGATACTTACCAACAACTATCCCATAGGAAAATATGAGAAACTGAACATTGGGTGCAAAAGCGCTAAGCATAAGCCCTCCAGAGACCATGACCCCGCTGAAGATGGTTACGGGTCTGGCCCCGAAGTTCACAACACAGGCACTGCAGATGGGACCTGTGCAAAAATACAAAAGCATCACCTTATTAGAGAATGTGAAACTCGAAATAAACAAAACAATCAAAAACTCCTTACAAAAATCTGATGTAAGCTGAGGCATTTAACTAGGCAGATTTGAAGTGCAGATTTTGATTGATTTATGAAAGCACAGGACATGACATCAAATGCCCCACTGACACAAACCGAAAATCATTAGACACAATTGTAGCCCTATTGATTTTATATTGGTGGTAAACAAGTTTTATAATGAAAAACAAGGTCAAGACTTATAATAAAAGAATGAGAAACTTTTAATTTAATAATTGCTCAGTATTTATTGTTTGAAGTTGAATTATGATAATATGGAGTTGGAAAGCATTGTGGTTAGTTATGTTTATGTTTACCATGGTATATTTATCTGGAAAATATCTTTATGCAGGGTAGATTTATTAAGCATTAAGTATCTCATATCAATGTTGAAAACTTACTAGCAATGAGTCCGACCCCAGACACGAGAGAGCCGACCCACGCTGTTGTGCCTTTGCCATCCTGGAAGGTGTTCAGCCATTCTGGGTAAAGCACCCCCACAGACTGAGGTGACCCGTAGGCCAGGAGCTGACCCATGAAAGAGGCGACCACAATGGCCCAACCCCATCCACCATCCGGGGCTTGCTTTGTGCTCCCTGCGCTCATGTTTACACTGGGTTCCTGTGGTAATAAACACATTTAAAGAAATGGTACTGCCAAAAAAAATGACATTTTATTTCCTTTCACACACACACACACACGCACGCGCACAACGTTATTATGTTTTATGGGGACATTACATAGACATGATTTTCTTTCCAGGCCTAAACTGTACAGTCTGCTCCCTGTTCATAGAAATCTTTTTGCATGATTGTATGATTTATGAACCTTACATAATAGAACAACACCTACGGCAAGGTGTGCGGAATGCGCGTTAAAGCAGCGCACGGACGCAGAGTTCAGGAGCGCGCACGTGCGGTTGCAGCTGTGCACTGCACTGCATCCGTTGTGTTCTCGTGTTCAGAACTCTTGTCAAGTGAAGTCACCTTTATTTATATAGCGCTTTATACAATACGCAGATAGTTTCAAAACAGTTACAGCGATAAAAGGAAAAATATGCATTTCGGCTGTTGCTCAGCTGAAGTTAATTCAGTATCGATTCAGTTCCGCTATAAAGATCATCCGTATGAAATAAGGTAATTTAATCTATAATGCAATTCTGCAAAAAATGATGTCATCGTCTAACTCATTTCAGTTCTCATAGAACAGTATGGCTACTACAGTAATAGTGTTGAATATTAGGTCTACTCAATTAGCTTTATTTATTTTAATACGATGATTTATACGCTGAAAAAAAGAAGAAGCTGAAAACCTGTTTGCTTTTTGTGAAGTGAATATCCACTATATTAAAGAATAGTACTATTAAAAACATTACAACGTTTCACTAAGATAATGAAAGTAATGCATTAACGTACCTCCCCAACCGGGAAATGATGATGATTTTCCGTGGTAAATTCAGTTCAGAATGCTGAACTGGCTCTTTGGACAATCCGGTGTTCTGATTTTAAATGGCATATCTAATCATTGTGTCATAATGTGAGATGACCGCTGTGATCGATATGAATGATAGCGGATGTGTTGGTCTGCAACATCCCTGTCTTCATCATTGTGCGGTGTGTTCTTCATGAGCTCCAGCTTTTGTTGCCAAGCGTTTAAACCGGTTTAAAGCTGTTCTCGCTGGCCCAGCTACACATTTCGATGCTCTAACTTCCTTTCTTGTTCTGTGACAATAAACACAGCATGGCTGCAGTCAACCCAACATTGACCAATTCCTGTTAACACTTAAATAATTACTTTTCGCCACTGGTGAAATGATAAATGCCATTAGCTATATATTTACAGGAGCTGCATCCGCTGTGTGTGTGACAACGAAGATAGAATGGCTAACGTTAGTTTTCCTGCGACACCGACTTTGTATATAGACTGGGTTCATGGAATTTGCTCAATTTGACAAGTTTAATTTGAATTCTTACTTTAGAATAAATTGTAAACACATGCCACGTGCATCTTTATGTATGTGCACCGCAGTTCCAGTCCGAACCGGTTGACTTGATGACAATACAGCCGTGACACGTGTTACCGGGATCATCTGCCTCCTTTCACATCTTAAAGGGACCATATACACTCCAGAAGCGTATTTTATAACTCATCTTAATGTGTCATTAAAAAAAGCATTGCACCCAAAACTGATCTTTAAAATTTAATTTCACCCAAAAATGATGAAACAAAATGTATTCACCCTAAACCAAGTTAACTAGAAGTCTTTATGCTCATTTTTCTTGCAATTATTTGATTACAATACAGAAAACAACAATGTGAAATAAAATTAAAATAGAAAACAATGTTTTTCTATGTTATACTTTAAAATATACTTTATTTGTGATGCAAAGGTGAAGTTTCATGACTCCAGTCTTCAGTGTCACATGACCTTTAGAAATCATTCTAAGCTGCTTGAATACTTTTAATTAATAAATAAAAAGTTTAAAAGAATAGCATTTATCACTTTTTTTTATCTATTTAACACATCCTTGCTGATTAAAGTGAAGAAAATAATGCTTTGCATCACATAAATAAATCATGTTTTAAAAAAATATATTCAAATAGAAAACCATTACTTTAAATTGTAATATTTTCCGTATATTTGATCAAATAAATGCTGCTTAATGAACAAGAGATTTCTTTCAAAAACAGTAATGTTTCCAAACTTTTGACTGGTAATGTGTTTATATATAGAGAGAGTGTGGGCAGGACTGTTGCAGAGTTCAAGCTATTCTCATGCAATTTCCAGCTCTTTACTATCTATTTTGACATCACATACTGTACATAAATAAACTACAAAATGCATATTTTAAATCACAAATCTTTATCAAATTAGGCCCTTGAGATTCAGCCAGTGGGACAGACACTCATGCTAAATTTCTCACCGTATCATAGCGAGGTCTTCAGTACAGAGGGAATGCACTGAAAAGATAAAGCCCAGTGCAACAATCTGTGGGAAGAAAAAGAAAACCACAAGACCAAAAGCAGCCAGAAAAGTTCTCACAGCACTCCCTCAAATATCTTTAAGAAAACACAGATCGAATATGTTATGAGAGCTGCAGTTTAGGTTGAAACATTTTCTAAGTAAAATAGTGAGACTGAAGATGTGTAACAAAATCATGTTTACAACCAACACAGTGAAGAGGTGGTAATTTCACAATGCAGTTCAACCAGCAGAACAATGTCAAAGCATTCATATTTAAAGCAGATGTTTTTTATCCAAACTGACATGACGAGGTGATTCATCTTCACATTCAAATTATTCTGCGAATAATAGTTAAAAAGACTATTAAAGTGCAGGGTTCATTAGAGTTTTTATACCAATTCGAGACTTAGTTATAATCATCATCGTTTTAATAACCAAAATAACCATTACATAATGTAGCTAGTTTTTACTTTACAAATAATGCAATGCAAATCAGAATTAGTATCTGTTGTGACAAAAAAAAAAAAAAAAAAATGACAACCACATATTAAGGCATTAATAGTCTGATGTGGGGATAAGCTAGAGCAATACCACAGCAAGTTAAGGCTCAAAGGTGTCCTGTTAATGATAGCAGTAAAATGAGCAAAAGTTACATTCAGTCGTCAACAGTCAACAAAAAAAAAAGAGGGTGAGGCAGGAAATTACAAAAACTGAAAAGTCAAATGAACAAAGATTTCTTTTTCTATACAAAGATATTTACAGACAACAGTAAAAAATGAAGGTAAACAAAAGTATAACATTAAATTAAATATATTCCTGGTTCTACTAAACCTAATGAATTGTGTTCTAAAACTGATACATGGTCCAAAAAAAAAAAAAAAAAAGGCAAAAACTGTACAGACACACCCTGTATTGATGATGTAAAGCGCTAATGTCATAATCCAGCAAACACAGTCGTGTTTTTTTGTGAGAGATTGTACACTTTCAGCATTCACTTGGCCACAGTAACCAACCAACTTAACTACAACCGACCAGGAGTGCGTTTTTACAAAAGCATCATTAGCCAACTATGGTTGCACGTTTTTTTGAACTCCGAAGGAAACGACAGAACTTGCGACCATAGTTGGCTTTTGGAAATGAATGACTGGTTTGACCTTTCGTAATGAAATCAGCATGAAACATTTTTAAACACTTTTCAAAAGGGACCCCCATTCGAATTTTGGGTATTGGACAAATTTGCAAAGCATACAAAAAAAACTATTTACACATGCTTTAATTCACTTCCAATGACTTTATACTCAGTATAACTATAAGTAAGAAAACGTATATCACAGTGGTACCATACACCGTCACGCAGAAAACGGCTGCAGGTGTGTTTGTAAAAAGAAACGAGACGATCACTACACAAAAGCACACCAGTCTTTTCTAATCTACAGCATTTAATGATTCAAGTGTCTTGCTGAACTTTAAAAAAGCTTTTAGATCCTACCAAGAGGATAAAAGGAGATGCCAACAGCGCATTACATCTGCAGCAGCTCCAAAACACTAGTTATCTACTGCAGAATATTCTCATTCAAACAGTTCAGTCACGTACTGTCCAGGTCAGAAAACATGGAAACTAAACACTTTACATAAAGAAAATGAAGCCATATACTGAATTAGATTTCATTTTGTTCACATTAGAATTTGTGCTCATCATTAAAAAAATGCCACAAATGTTTTATACAACGTCACAATTATATTTATGAAAATATTGAGAGAATTTAAATATATTTATAAGTTTGAAATATATATATATATTCAAACTTACATATATAAATAATGGAAATTTGCTCCTCAGGTTTTATTTTCTTTATGCATTTTTTGTTTGTTTGTTTTTTTTATTTTGAGATGATATATGACCTGGACATTTCTTTGTGAGCTTTCTTCATCACTAATGCTAAGCATTTTCAGCACGATTAACATATTTTGCGGTCTTTCTTTCCGAGAATGTTTATGAGGCAACTATCAAATGCATATTGCAGTATAAACAGGATGATTTTTTTTCCACAACTTTCTGAGACACTTATGATTTATTACATATTTTATGATTTTTATTATATTATTATTAATATTATTTTTATTGTATATATTTTATGATTATTCAACTGATAATTTAATAGTAATATTTGGGCCAGAGTGTTATCAATAAAAGGCCATTACATGTGTTGTTCATGATTCCATCTGAAGTACCGAACCTACCCGTGGTTTTCTAGAGCGTCCTAATGGTCTACTCTGGCTGACACTTTTAAAGTGTCTAAACATGAAAAAAAAAGTGAAACCACCTACAAACAAGCAATTTCTAAGAGATTGCTATGGGCGTAGATCGCTTGACACACACCGATGTCAAAGCACTCAGTACTAGCTAAAACTGTGCTATACACCTCAGAAATGTTCATTCCCTCTGCGCTGGAAATGCCTTTACCCCGTGTCTCAAGTGGACACACTCTTCCAAACAGAAAACTATGAACAAGACAAATTAATGGTTTCAGTGCGAGACGAAGATAAGGATTTTAAATCCTTTGGGTTGAAGGATATTACAGTGAAGCAGCTCTGTTTGGAGTCCTCTCCGATGGCGCATTGACCTATGGCTGCATGGACTGCTGGGATGATGTTGGATGTCCGGTGGGTGGTGGGGGAGGTGGTGGTTGCACACCAGCATGCGTGTTGGGGGAAGGTGGAGGCGTGGGCCGCTTGAACTTATCAGGACTGTTGCTTCTTCTTGGGGAGGGTCTCTGTGTGACGGGAGAAAGGATAGTAAATCATCTAGAACTTTCCATGGAATGTGATAAAAACTGATGTTTGGAACAGCTGAAGATTCACACCAGCTCCATCTAGAACCATTAAGACCCTTTTCAAGAAAAATAGAACGAACTGGTGTGACATTACCAAAGAAACTTAATTTTGTCCTGATTTTCAAAACAGTACGTTCAGGCTGGTAAACTCCTTCGGACTACTGTACCGGTTTGTCATGTTTAATACAGTAAAGCTGCTTGATTTAAAGCAATCTTTTGTATAAAGTGGTATGTAAATAAATGTGACAGAAGTGCTGAGTCAAAGGTTTTAAGACCTGCACAATTAACATTAATACCATATGGGCGGGTAGAGCAAGGTCTAGGTTAGCATCCAAACCATAAAAAAAGCAAACAATAATAAAAAAATAAAAAAACCCTCATGATCCCTTTAACAGTTGGCTGTGATGAGCAAACAATATTTTTGGATGTTTGTTCAATGTTTGAAATGTATTCCAAATGACCTTTAGCACATAATAAACATTACAACAAGATTAAGTAAGGACTACAGCATAGCTGCCAACTTTTGAGTTTAGCTTTAGGGACTGTGCTGGGGACAGAGACGCATTCGGAAGTGCATTTTCAAAAGTACTGAATATAAACTTGTCAAACTGTGCAGATACTGTGCAAATATTTGTTTGAGTTTTTCACTGGTCTAGTGGTAGAACTTTTGCCAAGAGTGTCAGGTTACAGGTTCTAATCCGCCCTCGGTATAGTTTTTTTTCTCTCTCTCATCAAACCCGAATATGTTCATGAGTGGTTACAGTCTATATCAAGCAGGGACACGTTTGTGTGCATTTTATTTGTGATTTCACCTGAATGAATAGAGTCTACGCAACATTGATATATTGAAGTGCGCGCAGTGTTCTAAGTGTAGATTTTAGCACTCTTATTCAAGAGTGAGCTAAATTAATGCTCTGCTATTTAACTGGAGATGTTTTATTTGTATTAGGTACATCTGTGCCTCAATCGGAAAATACACGGATAATGTGACCCGGCATTTCTCCCGGGATTGTTTGATTTCGGTTCATTCACACTGCCAGTGATTTGTCGGGATCTGTGAGTGCATTCATACACAACCCGTAAAGACACATGATGTCAGGATGAGACGTGTAACGTACGCGTCGGAAACATGTACCGTTCCATAAAACTGGCGAACGATCTCAGCTTCAGCACGGATAGTGAAGAGCTCCTGGTCTCTGCTTCGTTCCAGTCAGACTTCCCTTGTTTGACTTCTTGAACGAATCTCATGAATAAATCAATAAAATGACTGCTTAGCACTTGTCGCCACCTACTGGTGTAACAATGTAATTGATTCAATCTTTATTTGAAGCTAATGCAGATTTAAATGTTCCGCTGTGATCGTCCTGTCAAAAGTTTAATAGAAATAGCTATATAGTTGTCATTTAGGAATAAAACTGCGTGGGTAATTGAATCAAAATTACAATCTTTTAACCATTAATCGCGCAGCTCTAGTACATATGTATAGAAATTGGTACATGTACGTATATTTGTACCAATACATACAAATTTAAGGTTAACCATAATAATGTTTTTTTTTTTATTATTTTGCCAATGTGTTAAATAATGTTCACAAGGTACACATTTGGATAGGTCAGGCTGCACGATAGTACACATATGCTATATAAGTAGGCTAGGGGAAATGTCACTGTCAGCAGCTAAGGCTATTGGCAATAGCTGCATTGTAAAAAGTTGATCGTAATGTAATGTTTCCAGAAGTAATATCTGGACTTCGATCAGGCAGATCTGGATCAGAGTTCTCTGTTAGATAGAATAAATCCCTTTGCAGTAGACTATGAGCTTTATAACTTTGCAGATCTTATACATGCACAAACAGATACATTACACACTAAAGGAAAAGGAAAACATTAAAAAGCATCATATGACCCCTTTAAACAAGTACTTAAAAGAGCTTTCCAAGTAAAATTGTTGCCCAATTGCATTAAAAGCAGAGCGGTCTAACAAGTTACGTTTAAGAGAAAGGGGGGTGAAATGTCCCACATAATATCTGGTGTACACCACTTGCTCAAATTATTTTCAAATGGAATAAAAGTCTAAGATTTTAGGATGGATTTCTAGCTGATGGCAAAATTGACCGTGTATGGACACATAAAAACCAAAGTATACTTTGGGCTTATTAAGAAGGGAAAAACCCCAGACAGTCATGATGGTGCAGGCTAGAAGGAACTCACTGCAATGCCGTGCGAGGCTCCTACGTGGACATGCAGGCCGGGTGTGTTGTAGTAAGACATGCCTGCTCTGGTCAGAGTAGTTGGCGGGGTGAAGCCCACTGTGTGACTCGCATAAGACAACCCTGCAAAACCAAACATAATGAGGTACACAAAGTCAGCGAAGCTTTAGCAAATTCACTGAAGTGTGTTATTATACGGAGTTAATGAACTGCTCACTCTTTTCCACACAATAACAATGAATAGAAATCGAAGGGTTCAAGATAAAAACAACAACAACAACAACAACAAAGCAACAAATGCAATTTTAATTAACCAATTTACTGAATGGATTTGATCTATTAAAAAAACGATAAAAAACATGAATTCTCAAATAGGCCAATGAACAACAACATAGTAAGGAACAGACCAAAATGCATCACAGTTATACAAAGCACTTTTATCATACTTTTTTTTTTTTTGGGGAGCTTTACAGACGCAATCCTCATTTAATTTTATTATGTTGAAAAGTGCTGACGGGTAACTAAACCTTTAATAAAATATATTTGTATAGATGTTTGTATTGTATATATTTGCCTTTCAATCTTTTTGAACATTTTCATTAAAATCAATGCTATGCAAAGGTTACATGCCTTGATTTCAGTCAAAATATGGCATATTATTTTAACTGCCTATAGTTTAGAACAGTCTTTGTGAAGGAAACACCCATAATTTGTAGTTAACTGTGGTAAAAGAGCAGTCTTTCAGATCTATTTGCTTGCAAATTTATGCCTTAATCTGAACATTTTGTTCTGCCAAGGAATGTTGAACAGACCTGCTCCTGAAAACAGGTGTTGACTCAGGGTACTTTCCATTGTACCGGTAATTACCGGACAATGGCCAGGGAAAAAACCGACAAAATGATCTCTCCGGTCAAATTGTCCGATTAAAATGGCCTAATAATCCCATACCCCTAACACAATCTGAATTTGAGAATAAGCCTAAAATATAAAAAGCAAAAATACACCGACTGATCAGAAGGATTATTTGCCATTTTACAACCATAGAGACTGCAGACACCGCTCTTCTTATTTATGCCGTAAGCCTAAGACGTTATGCCCTTGCTGTCATGACAGAGCTCTGTGGCGATGGAGGATTGCATTTCTCCACAGCTTGAAGTTCTCATATGTGATTTCAACGAAATGTATCTAGTAGAGATGATCATTTCGGTTAATTTTCACGACCGACAACCGCCGCTTGTTAATCAATTATTAACCGTTAACTGATAAGATTATAATACTGAACTGGCATTATATAAAATTAAAAATGACGCGTTTCTGTGACCTGTTAAAAATACAAATAACTTTTTTAATTTATTTATCAAAGGGTTTATTTGAATGTGCAAAGTGCACACAGCAGCATACAGGACCAATTAACAACAGAACCTGGATTTTCACGCACCTGCAGCATTTCTGAAAGTGACAACAGAGAAAAACAGAATAAAATACAAATAAAAAACAAAATTGGCCAACACAAAACATATTTTTAACTTAATTAAATTAAGACGACAAAAAGAAAACACTGAATCCGTTTGAACGAAGCTTTCAAAAACCATAATTTTTTTCTGTTAGACTAAGATTTTTTGTTAAATAAAAATATAGCATCCCTACCTCAATCCACACCGAGATGTTTTTATCTCGATGTGGCGCAGGCGCGCTTACAAAAAAAAAAAAAAAAAAAAAAAAGAGCGCGCGCGACGCGCGTTGCTTCCATTATGAGCATGCATAT